GCCAGAGCTATATGGCAAGATAGGGAAATTAAAGGCATCCAAATTGGCAAAAAGGAAATAAAACTCTATTTGCAGACGATATGATCCTACATATACAAAACCCCAAAGACTCAGTAAAAAAGCTCCTAGACCTCATTGGAGGATTCAGCAAAGTGGCAGGGTATAAGTTCAGCATCCAAAAGTCAGTTGGATTCCTCTATACTAATAACGACAGTGCTGAAAAGGACATTAGTAAAGCAATACCATTCACAATAGCCGCCCAAAGGATGAAATATCTAGAAATGAAATGTAAGCAGAGAAACAAAGGACCTATACAAGGAAAACTACAAAACACTACTGCAAGAAACCAAAAGAGACTTACAAAGATGGAAGAACATACCATACTCCTGGATAGGAAGACTTAACATTGTGAAAATGTCAATACTGCCCAAAGCAATTTACACATCTAATGCAATCCCAATCCAGATTCCAAAGACATTCTTCTAAGAGCTGGAAAAGACAATGACAAACTTTATAAGGAAAGGGAAGAGACCAAGAAGCACTGCTTAAGAAGAACAAGATTGGAAGCCTCTCACTCCCCAATTTCAAAATTTATTACACGGCTACAGTGGTCAAAACAGCCTGGTACAGGTACAATCAAAGAGACATTGATCAGTGGAACAGAATCGAGACTCCAGAAATTAACCCATCTACATACAGTCAACTGATTTTTGACAAAGTACCTAAATATCTCACATGGGGAGGGGATAGTCTCTTTAACAAATGGTGCTGGCAGACCTGGAAAACAACATGTAAAGACTGAAACAAGACTTTTACCTCAGGCCTTATACAAAAACCAACGCAGCATGGATTAAAGACCTGAATAGGAATCCCAAAACTATGAAAGCCATCAATCAAAAAATAGGGACCGATGAGGGCTCTAATTCAGGGAATACACAGACTACCAAACATTTTGAAAACCACACAAACAAAAGTAGACAAAATAGATGAGTGGGACATACTGAAAATTAATAACTTATGTGCATCAAAAGACTTCACCAGACGAGTATAAAGGGAACCCACAGAATGGGAAAAAATCTTTTGCAACGACGCATCAGACAAGGGATTCATTTCTAAAATATATAGGAAACTACAACAGCTCTACAAGAAAAAGACAAATAACCCAATTAAAAAGTGGACACAGGATATGAACAGACACTTCACTAAGGAAGAGATCCGGGCAGCCAACAAACATATGAAGAAATGCTCACGATCACTAGCCATTAGAGAGATGCAAATCAAAACAACAATGAGATATCATCTCACA